GAAGGAAGGAAGGAAGGAAGGAAGGAAGGAAGGAAGGAAGGAAGGAAAAGAAAAGAGAAGAGATAAATTGTCAAGAAAAGGAGAATTCAAATCACTGGCAAAAAAGGCCTCCAGAATGGCTCAGGCACTACTCTTCTTCAGACATCCATATTGAGCAGAACTTCTATCCCATCCAGAGATCTTCCCCTCAGGATAGAGAACCCCAAAGAGGACTACCTGTTGAAGCACCACAAAATAGTCACCTCTCCCTTTCTGCCCTCTTTGTCCTGGATTCTGAACTTGGCAACAGTTGACACTAGTTGATTCCAGGATGTGAGGACCACAGGGAGCAGTGCCATCAGCTATGATGAGTAAGGAGGTTGGGATCTGGGATACCGGGTCAACTTGTGTTGACAGAAGCAAACATTCCTGCTTGCTGCTTTCCATTTATCTTAGCCTAGCAGAAGCACATGGCTGAGAGGAAGAAGTGAGATTCTAAACCCAGTGACACAGTGGGGACTGACCTAGGCCCAGTAGTCAAATCGGCACATGTGTCCATATATCTTCTCATCCTGTACAGGAAGTACAGGAAGTACATGATTGGTACTGGCAGAGCTCAGTACTGGCAGTATCACTCCTTGCCAAGTCACCAAATCTCACCAATCATCCGTTTTTCTATAACTGTGATTATGATGCATTTAAAAACGTCTTTCAGAGATTTTTTTTGTGATCCAGTTTCTTTAGTGCTAAAATATCAGTAATAAACACTGCTTCCTTCAAAGAGTGTTTAAGATGCTCAATCAACAAATTACTGTTATGTGTTAAACCCAGTGTCTAGAATATAAAAATGACTGAACCACATTCATTTTTGTTGGCCCTGATACCCTGCACTGTTTGGTCTGTAGTCAAGATATCTGATTTAAGTCTAATGATGTGCAAACATTTCTGTTTTTTCCCCTAGAACTTAATCTTTTTTTTTTTTAAATTTTTAGATGTTTAGTATGATTTCAGGCAAAATCACAGAGGAAGACGTGTCATCTTTGGTACAGAATCTTTCCACCATCCTTCAGCAAAACCCATCTACCACGGCTGGGAATCTGGCTTCAGTGGTGTCACTTCTGAGCAACGTTTCATCCCTGTCACAGGCAAACTCTTTTACAGTGTCTAATTTGACACTGAAGGTATGCTGTTTCTATGCTTGAGGGGCTGACTTTTTTTTTTTTTTTTTTTTGATAGCTTATTTTATCTAGCTTTTTGGAGACTGCGTCTTACCATATAGTTCTGGCTGGCCTGGCATGCAATATATAGGCCAGGATAACCTTGAACTCCCAGAAACCATCCTGACTGCTGGAATTACAGGCAAGGGCCACAACACCCATATTGAAGGTCTCACTTCAAATGTTCCATCTTGTAAGTGGTGTAATAAGAGCCTGGATGATGGGAAACTCTTGAGAAAAACAGAGAAGCCATTTAACAGTGCTCATGTGAGCTTCATTGGCTTTTGCACAGTGTACAATTAACTCATAGGACTTGGACTGTAGCTCAGTAATAGAGTGCTGGCATGGCAAGTGCTAGGCCGAAGGTTCAATACTAAGGATGGTATCTAGGGAGAGAAGAAATAAAATACTAATGCTCATGTTCAATAGTGAAAAAGCTTACCCCTTCCTTTAAGCCTGAACCTTCACAAGCAGCCTGTTCATGGGCAGATTTCAATTTAGTCTGTCTATCCTATGATTTCATTGTATACAGTGAACAATTTAAGAACTCCTATCTCTTGGCTGGTTTAATTTAGATATTTAAATTTTGACTTCAAGTGACACAATGATATTTGATCACTATAAGAATGGCCATGCAACTAATATTCTTTCTTCAACAGAGTCTCACTGGGAATATGAACTGCTCTTAAGGTCAGGCCTCATGCCCTGCAGTAAATATGGCCACCACAAAATGGCATGTTTTGGAAATTCTTTGTCTCATAATGATTTGTCAAGACTCTTCTGTTTTTTCTTACAGGTCCTTCGAGTACATGTTGTGATATCCAATTTCATGTATTTTGTCTTATTCTGGTTTATTTATTTATTTTTATATCATTATTATTATTATTATTATTATTATTATTATTATTATTATTTAGATGTCTTTTGTTTTTTAATGAGAGGAATAAAAAGTGTGGATTTGGGTGGCAGTGCAGGTTGTGGGAGACTGGGGGGAAACAGTAATCAGAATATATTTTATGAAAAAATCTATTTTCAATTAAAAAAAAAAAAAGAAATAGCAATGCAGAATCTGGTGCCATAGGCCTGTAACTCTAGCACCGGAGAGACTGTGATAGAAGATTGTGAATTTGAAGCCAAACTTGAGTCCTCTGAAAAAGCAGAAAGTACTCTCTGTGTTAGAGGCATCTCCCCAGCCGACCATCCAAAACCACACTACTTTTAAGGATTGCTGTTGTATTCTTATGTAGTAAACAGTAAAAACCCTTGAATTCAAATCTGAGCATCCATGGCCTGAATTGTCAGGGTCAGTTTTTCAATCAAAAGTAGTTTTCTTGTTGTTCAGACACTGCATTCTGATTACAGTTTTCCCTCCCTCTGCTCCTCCCAGGTCCTCCCCACCTCTTCTCCCATCTGGACCCACCCTTCCTGCCTCTCATTAGAAAAGAACAGGCTTCTAAGAGACAATAATAAAATAAAATTAAATATAAGGAGATAAAACAAAATCAAATTCTAATGTTAGCTAAAGAAGCAAAATGGGGGAAGCTGTTGAAAGCCGTGCTTCTGTCCTTGTGCAGTAACACAGTCATCTTTCCCATCTCAGAGCTGTGTGTTACGGGATGCTTATTCATCCGAGCTGAAGTAAAACCTCACTGTGACTGCAGAGGACTTGGGGTGACCACTCTAGTCCCAACTTAAGAAAAAAGTATTTGTCGTGTGTCAGGGCGTGAGATGGGGGACACTGCACCCATGCCACAGCATGTGTATGGAGACCAGAGTACAACCTATGGGAACCGGCTCTCCTCTTCAGTCATACGGGTTCTGGGAATTAAACTCAGGCCACAGGGATTGCCAGGAGGCACCTTTATCCGCTGAGGTCCCTTACCATCTTGACTGAAACACTTCTACTATATGGAGTGACGGAACTGAATGTAATTCACGAGTTTTACCATGATGCTCAGTTCACCTGTCCTATGACTATTTTTCCTATACTTAACACGAGCAACCTTCCACTCTCGGCTCTCCTGTCTCAGAAGACCTAAACTGACTTTGACTCTTATGTTTCAGGAGATCATCAACATTGCCGATCGTATTCTGAACTCAACCTCCATAACTAACTGGACAATTTTATTAAAAAAAGAAAAGGATGTCAGCTCCCAGCTACTAGAAACATTGGAAGACATCAGCACTCTTTTACCTTCCGCTGCCCTGCCTCTTAATTTTTCTCAAAAATTCATTGACTGGAAAGGGATTCCAGTGACCCAAATCCATATCACAGAGGGTTACAACTATCAGATTGAAATGATACAGCAAAATGCCTCTCTCCCCATCCGAGGCCACGTGCTCATTGAACCAGACCAATTTCAGAAATCCCATCCAAAGACGATTATCAGCATGGGCTCACTCACCTTTGGGGACATTCTACCCATTACCCACAGAGGAAATGCACGGGTCAATGGGCCAGTGATATCCACACTTATCCCAAACTATTCCATCAATGAAATTTTCCTGAACTTTTCCAAGATCAAGGGAAACCTGAGCCAGCCTCATTGTGTGTTTTGGGATTTTGGTCACTTGCAGTGGAGCAATGCAGGCTGCCAACTAGTTAACGAGACTCCAGACACAGTGCTGTGCCGATGTACTCACCTGACCTCCTTCTCCATGCTCATGTCACCCTTTGTTCCCTCTTCAGTTGTCCCTGCGGTAAAATGGATCACATACATAGGGCTGGGCATCTCCATCGCAAGTCTAATCTTATGCCTGATAGTTGAGTGTCTGTTTTGGAAGCAGACCAAGAAAAGCCAAACCTCATACACGCGCAACATCTGCCTGGTGAACATCGCCCTGTCGCTCCTGATTGCTGATGTTTGGTTTATCATCGCCGCCACTGTGGACACCTCTGTCATCCCTTCTGGAGTCTGTGTAGCTGCGGTGTTCTTTACCCACTTTTTCTACCTTGCCTTATTCTTCTGGATGCTTGTCCTCGGCATGCTGCTGGCTTATCGCATCGTCCTCGTGTTCCATCATATGGCCTTGCTCAGCATGATGGCTATTGGGTTCTGCCTGGGCTATGGGTGCCCTCTCCTTATAGCCATCATCACCATTGCTGTCACCCAACCTAGCAATAGCTACAGAAGGAACAACGTGTGTTGGCTTAATTGGTCTGATGAGAGCAAACCTCTTTTGGCATTTGTAGTTCCTGCACTGACTATCGTGGCTGTGAACTTGGTTGTGGTGCTGCTGGTACTCAGAAAGCTTTGGAGGCCAGCAATTGGAGAGAGAATGAATCACGACGACAAGACCACTGCCATCCGCATGGGAAAGAGCCTCTTCGTGTTGACCCCGCTGCTAGGGCTCACCTGGGGTTTCGGCATAGGGACTATGGTGGACAGCCAGAATCTGGCTTGGCATGTTCTTTTTGCTTTCCTCAATGCATTCCAGGTAAGGACAATAAGCATAATGCATTATGTACTAATGTCATTGGAATAAGTTTAGAGAAGTAGGGTTGGGGGATGAAGATGACCTCATCTCCTTGGTTCCAACAAGTCTAGTTCACAGAGTGTATGTATATGAGAAGACAAGCCCATCCATTTACCATGGCAGTTCACATTATGCTGAAGTAGAATTCTGGACTTCCCCAGTAACCCACTGCAGGCCTTAAATCTATGAGTGTTCATATAACCAAGACTTATCTCTCTTGAGGTTGACTCAGTCCTCATACTCATGCACAAATCTCCGACAAAGCAGAGAAATAGAAATAACTCAAAAGTACTTGTTGACCTTGACCTTGTTAAAGTCCCTTTAATTTAATAAACAGAGGCCAGAAACATAGCACCAACAGCCAGATTTTCTTAGAACACAACTGTGCTTTTTAGTGTATAGAGGGCCTATGGCTCTTTTCTCTCCAACAGCAGAAGAGCTGAAACAGATAGTACGTATTTTGCAAAGCACCAAACACTTACAATCTAGTCTTTACAGACACACACACACAAGCTTGTTGACCTTTAGTATTAAGGATAGCTTTTATATTCCATAATCAGAAAGGGTTCAGAATAAATGGAAAAAAGAATCCTTAAGTTTTGATGAATCTGGAAGAAAGTCTTCAATCACGGTTTATTGCAGGTAAGGCCAGACCGCCTAGGACAATGAGGCATGGAAATGGTAGTCTCATGATTGAGTTTGTTCTGGAGTCAAGTGTGTTTACTCTTAAATACCAACTGTGCACATAATCTCTCCATCCCTGGTTCTCTCAGCTGTTGAGCGGGACCACAGTAATATTTACAGAGCAATTTTGAGGATTACAAGAGATAATTTAGGTACCTGACACAGAGCCTCATACTCAACAAATGCTTAGAGTTTCCTAAAGCCATTGCACCAGCCCATTCACTTAGCAGTAAACACTCAGGCAGTTCTATAGATGTACTCATAGAGAGCATGCATTTGTTTTGTTTTTCAAGATAGGGTTTCTCTGTGTTGCCTTGGCTGGCTGGCCTCAAACTCACAGAGATACGGCTGCCTCTGCCTCCCCCAGTGCTGGGATTACAGGCATGCACCACTGCCCCAGCGTGAGCAGTGAGCGATTTGACAGGTACAAATGAAAGGTTCTGTGACTGGGGGGAAGAAAGCCTTTGTCAGGATTTCCCAGGAGTCATACTCGAAGAGAAGGTTCCTTACGGAGGCCACTTTTCTCCTCCTGGCCATTGTAGGCTGAACCTCAGTATCTGTTGTCATCAGAAGCACACGATGGATATTTATTAAATACTTGGTCTAAAGAAAGGCTAAGATAGCACAGCCATTGGAAGCTATGTGGGGTTTTGGATGACTCTGCAACAGATGATAAATTTGCACATGAGTTCACAGCTCCATCCGTTCAATCATTTGCCAATGAATACACTCATGAAAGACAATATGTTAGCACTTTGTGATGGGCTGGCACCACTGAGTTCACACTACTCCTGTCTTTTAGAAGCCTATAGTCCGGCTGGAGGCCAGACAAGAAAATAAGTTCAAGTTGATCAGTTAGTGCATGCTTGTCACCCTGGCCTTCGGGGTAGAGGTAGAAGAATAATCACGAGTTTGAGACCAGCCTGGCCTATTTAACAAGTCTCAGGCTAGGTTGGGTTGTAGAATGAGTCCTTACCGCCAAAAGGGGGAAAATTAACATTAAAATATTAGGTGAGCATGATAGAATTGTAACACGTAGTATATAGATGATTCCTTGTCTGAAAAAAGAAAACAGAACAATATATACAATTTACTCTTTGCTTTTGGTTCTTGTTAAAGGGATTTTTCATCTTCTGTTTTGGAATTCTCTTGGATAATAAGGTATGTGTATATTGACTTCTTCCTTCATTCCCTACTACAGGCACAAACAAAACAAAACAAAACAAAACAAAACAAAACAAAAACCTTTCCTTTCAGTTCCAAGGCCTTTGTTTTGTGTATGATGGATACTTAGGTAATAAAATCTTTACAGTTTCACAAAAGACAGACTCATGCAGAAGTCAGCTAAGTGATCCCTGCTGATGAAGTCACCTGGACACAATCACAAGTGAAGTGACCATCACAGAAAGAAAAAAAAAGGGGGTGGGTAAAAGGCTTTTTACACTTCATCTTTCTAAGCCGGTGTGGTGTGATGGAACATATCTACAATCCCAGTACTCAGAAAGCTGAGACAGGAGGATCCCAAGTTCCAGACCATTTGGTAGTACACAGAGAGTTTCAGACCAGCTGAGGATCTGTCTCAAAAGCAAGCCAGAAAAATCGCTCTCTAATTTGCCTTCTGAGGGGATGAAACCTATTTTGTGCCTTGAATTTCTTCGCTCGTTTATTCAAACTATGCAGAAAGAATGTAATTTTCGCATTTCTAATCTATCAAATGTTAAGTAGTTTCTCTGTTAAATAAAATTAGCAAATGAAAGACTATTAGTTTCAGTGGAAGATAACTAGGAAAAAAATTATAAAGAACCGTGTTCCATTTTTCCTCCTAAGCAGCAAGTAATTATGTCAATAGATAAAGACAGTAATTGATGTTTTAGCAAGAAGACAAAAAGATTTTATTATTAGGGCTGTAGTTGCTCTTGCAGAGGAATGGTTTTGGCTCCCAGAGCCCACATGGTGACTTACAACAATCTGTAACTCCCATTCCAAGGGTTCCAAATGTCTCTTTGGGCCTTTATAAGCACCAGGCATACACATGGTATATAGACTTCCATGAAGGCAAAAACACTTATATATGTAAAATAAAATAATAAAATAAATATATATTAAGAATGGAAAAGAGATTCTTGTTAACTCATTTGCCATATATTACCACCCATTACAGACAGACAATTTCTTTACAGTTGTTCTTTTGGAAGAGAGAACAGTCTATTAGCTATTTATGCTAATGGTCTAGAAGTGTCACTTCGAAGCGATGTTGCTAAGTAACAATTTCAAAGGTACTTTTTTCTTAGAATGTTGATGCCTGATCATTTGTGTCTCTTCACCATTTTTTTTTTTAAATTCCCCTGACAGCTGCGACAACTTCTGTCCAACAAGCTGACTCCCTTAAGCTCATGGAAGCAAACATCAAAGGTAATTGACCTTCAACTCAGACATGTAAAGTAGCAGTTTCGTATTTTCCCCTCTGTGTCACCTGCGGCAAGCTCATTTATGGAAGGCCCTTGTTTTTCCAACATCAACACTTGGTATGGTGCCTGGCTAGGGTTGGTGTCTAAACAAAGAGCTACCAAGTAAGGAGGGCCTGGGCAAATGCATATGAAGGCTTGAAACCCACAAGATCTGTCAGGCCTGCTGGAGGTGCAACCCTATGCTGACATCTCCAACTGGGAGCAGGCCAGGGTGTTCAGAGACAGCTTCTGCTTCACGTTAAGGTGGTATTCTTGTCATAGCCTGCAGGAAAGAATCTCAAGGTGAGTCAGGATGAAGCAAGATGAGAGTTTAGTAAGAAAACATGCTAATACAGATTTAAGCGTTGGCATTAAGAAGCGGGGAGCTAGAAGAGGACAGTGGCACACAGTAGGGCAGCTTCTCAAGTGAGAAGCTGTCTCTCTCTCTCTCTCTTTTTTTTCAAACAAGATAGTGTGAGATGTCCTATATAGGTGAGATTAAAAACAGAAGTTAAAATGCTTAAAGGAATCCTGAGTATAGGGCACAGAGAGGGGACCACATGCTTTGCCTGTAAACATCACTCATAACCTTATTCACAAGAGTCTTTGATTCCTAGCAGGTAGGGGCAGGGAGCTCCCTTCTCTTCCCAGGCCTGCTTATCCCTGCCTCCCCCTCACTGCCTTCTTTGCTTTGAGTGGATGATGTTGAACAAAACTATTTATTTCAGTTCCTGATAATCCCAGCATTTAGCTCTGCACACCCGAACCTGAGGAGTTTGCACAGACAGGAGGGGGTGCGGTGGGGTAGGGTGGGGCTCTGTTTTATTCTTTCCACAAAAATACCTATGAAGACAGAGTGTACAGTGAGCACAGCACTCACATATGCATTTTTTAACTTTCAAAGTTAGTTTAGATTTTTGTCTTTCAGTAAGACATAGAGGATTTTTCAGAAGGAGTGCTAAAGTAGAGATATCTGTATTTGATTATTAAAAAAAAAAAGCCAACCCACTTAACTGTATACAAACTTAGAGTGTTCAGAGACATTGCAAGAAACTGTAGGCTTTTAAAATAAAATAAAGCACGGTAGTGGTACCCATCTGTGGTGGCTTGAATAAAAATAGCCCCTGTAGTCTCATATATTTGAATGCTTAGTCACTAGGGGGTGAGACTATTTAGGATTAGAAGGACTGGGAGGTGTGGCCTTACTGGAGGAGGGGTGTCACTGGGGGTGGGCTTCAAGGTCTCAAAAGCCCATGCCAGGCCCAGTCCATCTGTCTGCCTATCTCTAGTATCATGCTTGCCTGGCTGCTTCCTTCCATGCCCCCTGCCCTAATGATAACGGACTAACCCTCTGAAACTGTAAGTGAGCCCCCAGTTCCATGCTTTTCTTTATAAGAATCGCCTTCATCACGGGGTTCCTTCACAGCAGTAGAACAGTAACTAAGATAGCAGTGATAACCCAACGTTAAGAGAGGTGCAGGCGAGAAGATCAGGAGTTCAAGGCTAGCTCCTGAAACGTAAGGAGTTTGCTCTATTTTAGGCAAGACAAAATGAAAACCAAAACTAACGATAATAACAATAATAAAAAATCAAAACAATGGGCTGTGGGGGTGGGATGGCTCAGTGGTAGGAGCACTTGCTGTTCTTCCCGGGGTCCTGAGTTCAGTGCCATTAAGGCAATCATAACCGTCGGTGACTCCAGCCCCAGGTGATCTGACACACTCTTTTGGCCTTTGTGGGCATTCACAAACATGTGCCATGCCCACACACATACACAAAAAATAAAATAAAGCACAGCTCAATGAGGAAAGCACCCTGGGGCTTCCTGGATCTTCATTTCATAGTAGAAAGTGCTGCTATGAATGGAAGTGGTCCGTCTTGGTCACTGTACTTTGACTCCTACCCCACTGGCTAGAGGTCTTAGGAAGGTTCCATGGTAGCTCTAAGAAGTTCTTACAGTCTGTGGTTTTAATATTATGTCTTGAACTCAAACCCTTGGGACCAGAAGGTGTGAAGCTTATGTTATTGTGTAGTCTCAGGAAAAGGAGGAAGTTACAGAAAAGAATGCACATCAGTGAATAAAATGAGGTTGGGCACTCCCTGCCCTTCAGAGCAGGAAGTCAGTGATTTCCTCATTGAAAAACCGAAGACAGGAAAACATCCCTAACTGAAATACAATAAAGCAAAAGCTCAAACGCCCGGCAGCGTTTCTCCCTGCTCCTGACACGTCATGTTAGTGCTCTTTAAATGTGCAGGTGGTCCCTGAACAGCGATGGTCACCGAGGGCCCGTTTCTCCTGCAACCATGGCCCCTCCCCAGTTTAATTCAAACTAGGTGGTAAAAATTAGATTTTATTTTGGTTGTCTGGTTAAATGATTTGATTGTCTCAGTTTCACTTCCTGTTTCTGTGATTAAAATATCAGGGAAAAGGCAAATTAAGAAAGGGCTAGTGTGGCTTACATTTCCAGGTCATTTGTTTCACTGAAGTCATGGAGGCAGGAGCCTGAAGAGCACACACACACAGAGAGAGAGAGAGAGAGAGAGAGAGAGAGAGAGAGAGAGACAGAGAGACAGAGACAGAGACAGAGACAGAGAGACAGAGGGAGAGACAGAGAGACACAGAGAGACAGAGACAGAGAAAGACACAGAGAGAGAGAGCAAGAGTGAGAGCAAGCATGCACATAGGCTTTGCTCAGCTCACCTCTTGCACAGTTCAGGATACTGAACTGACCATCAAAGGATCTTCATCAATTAACATAATTAAGATTATCCTGCACAGGCATTCATTTATGTCAATCTAAGGTAGATAACTCTACCTTGAGACTCTCTTCTCAGGGAATTCTGGATGTTAAGCCAGTAATCGAAGATAACCAGCACAGTGGTTGTCTCTGTCTATGTCTGCCCCTCCCTACCTCCCTCCCTTCCCTCTCCCTCCTTCCCTCTCTTTCTCTCCATTTGCTGAGGGAATTTGAATGAAAAAAATCCAAGTACCCAGATTATGGATTTTTAGAAACTGAAGAAGAGATAGGGGGTGGACAAAATGGTTCAGTGGTTAAGATCTTACACTGTTCTTAGAGAGAATCCAGTTCAGTTCCCAGCCCTCACACTGGTAGTTCACAAATGCCTTCATCCCAACTCTAGTGAGTTCGATGCATTGGCTGGCCTCTGTAAGCATTGCATGCTTGTGTACATATGCACAGTCATATCCATGTACGTACTGTTGAAAACAAGAAGGAAAGATAAGATTGCTGTTACTATCGAGGAGCTTGTAAGTTAAAAACAAAAACAAAAACAAAAACATGAGAGCAGAAAGGTACAAGGTATGAATACAGGATGACCAAGAGCAGTGGGCTTGTGAAAATTGTGGGATTTTAAAACAAAATGAGTGAAGATAACAGAAGCAAGAGGATTCCCCAGGAGACCCACTCAGAAGCAAAATATAGCAGCCCATTTTCTTGACACAAGGTCTGTCTGACTGAGGGAACATGAGCAACAGGTCCAGGTTGGAGTCATAGAGACTTCACTGAGAGAGGGCAACGGGGTGATTAGGTAGAGATCTCTAAAATGACATTGAAGATGTAAGATATGGCAGAAAGGATGGAAGAGGAACTCAGCAAAATTCTCGGCAAGGTCCATCCATTCTGTTCATTGAATTGGTTGCTTGGGAGATGGTTATTGCTGAATCTGTATCTTCCTTCTTGGTTTAGCTTCCATGTCATATGGAATGAGAATGGGAATGGAAATTGTTCCCTCCAATATTCCTAACACCTGAACAGTGTCTAGCAAAGAAAACCTCTCAATATAAGTGAATGAATAAATATTAGCAAAGAGAAAAGAATGTTAAGTATCTTAAAACTTACATTTCCTAATAATTGCTTGCTCTTTGTTTGAAATATTTTATCCCAATTTAATAATTGAGTCCTATCAATCTATCTCTATCTATCTATTTTATCTATCATATATGTTGTATATCTATCTGTCTTTTTATATCTATCTATCTATATACCTTTTTATTTATGGAGATAGAGTTTCTCTGTATAGCCCTGTTTGTCCTGGAACTTGCTTTGTAGGCCAGGTTGGCCATGAACTCATGTAGACCTACTTGCTGCTGCTTCCCAAGTGCTGGGACTGAAGGTATGTGCCACCACACCGGGCTTCAGTTTTAATTTTTTAAAAATGGTTATTTTTATTGCATGTGTATGTGTATTTTTATCGCATGTTTATGGCATTGTTTGTGCCAACATGTGTGTATATTCACTGTGTGCATGCCTGATGTTCACAAAGGCCATAAATGGGCAGTGTGTCTCCCACAAATGGACTTACAAATCTTTGTGAGCCATCTTTAGGTCCTGAGAGCTGAACCCAGTCTCTCTGGAGGAAAAGCAAGTGCTCTCAACTGCTGTACCATCTCTCCCTACACATAATTCCGTTTCCAAGTTATAATCTTCATAATCTTGATTATCCACAGAACTGAATGCTAAGTTGTACAAAAGGAAGGCAAATCTGTGCCAGGGATTATTTTTACACCGAATATTAGGTTTTTTTTTCCTTCAGTCCTTCTAGTAGCAAATATACAGATCAAGAGTGTATAAACATGGACATTAAAAGGGATAGTGTTTCCTTCAAAGCCACTTTCCAGCTGGTTGTTGGAAGTTGTAAAGATACAGAAACACCAAATTCATTTGGAAATAAACTCAGGCATATGCTAAAAAAGCGGATTAAGGAATAAATGAGCGATTATTCTATATTTCTAAAAAGGAATCATATATTATAAACATGGGATAAAAGGTTGTTGTTGACATCAAGAATCATGATATGAGACATAGGATACAGGCAGACTTTGTTGAGGAATAATACAGGGCACCCTCAAGCATGAGAGTGGAGAATGGCAAGAGAGATCACTGCGGGAGACCACACTCTTGTAGGGTGAGAATGGACAGTAGACAGAGAGACCATTGCTGAAAAAAAAAAAGAAAGAAAGAAAAACTAAAAACTGTCATGGGATAAGAATGGACAATGACCAGAGGGACCATAATGTAGTGAAAGTGAAGGGTATACACAGTCAAATGGATCACTGTGTCAGTGGTCACTATATTCTTGGGCAGACTTTACTGTTCCATAAAGTTGCTAGGACAGATAGCTTTCCAGCAGGGCATCTTCTTGTCTGAGGATTATAAAAGATAAGATGAAAGAGTATGAAGTGACTGGCAAGCCTAGTTGATATTCTGGTTTTCCATAAGGCCATGTTTTCACCCACAGTCAGAGACACAACTCAGACTCCGCTCTTTGATCGTGCAGCAGCTGGATGTTTCAGTGCATGTCTTTAATCTCATCTCAGCATTCCATAGACAAAGGCAGGAGGATCTCTATGAGTTCCAGGCTAGTGAGAGCTGCAGTGGGACTCGATCTCAAAATCCAAATCAAACCAAAACAATACCACAGAACACCAAAATCACACACTAAAACAGATTAAAAGGAGTAATAGAAAAATTGAAATAAGTCTATAAAAATACCTGTGTTTTCTTAAGGGGAAAATATCCTCCCTTGATGATCCATAATAAAGGAATCTCCACCTTTTCCTTGGTTTCATCTGTAGCTAATTTTTTACATCTATAAAATTTTGGGCCAAAGTGTGGTGGTGCATGCCTTTAATCTCAGCACTTGAGACGCAGGGGTAGGCAGATCTCTGTGAGTTTGAGGCCAGCCTGGAGTGAATTCCAGGACAGCCAAAGCTACAAACAAAGAATCCCTATCTCAAGAAACAAACCAACCAACAAAACCCAATAGCAATAATAAATAAAGGACTGGTAATTTTAATGTTTTCTTTTCTTCTTAACTTTGATTCCTTAAATAACTGCAATAACAGGAATCCCAGACTGGTTATAAAGGAGGGACCAAACCTTAATTGTGGAACCCCACTTTTAAGGTTGAAGCCTGACATTTCTGCATAGTCTTGAGCTCAGTGTAAGGAAAGCTCCCTTTTCTTAGCAGGGTTCTCTCTCCACCTGATCTGGATAACCTCAGATACTGTAAGGAACGTCATAGAGCCCTCAGGGAAGATTACAGACTAGACCTTTTCCTGATTAAAAAAAACAAAAAAACAAAAAAACAAAACTGGTCCAGAAAGCAGATGGAAATTCCTGGAAATGCCCCACCCTGCTAAGGAGATCTTAGTTTTTTAATAGTGACCTTCAATTGTACTTGTAGATTTTCCCCCACCCATAGGATAATTAAGTCCTATGTTCTTGTGATAGGATCATACTACTACATGGAAATTGAGGCACTGTACCACTACATCAAGCGTCCCTGGCATCCCTAACCCCAGTAAATCAAACACCCTTGAAACCCCTCCCACTGCCCAAGGTTTATAAATCCCTGGCTTCAAATAAACATGCTAGATGTGTTTAGGCGAGCTACATGCTACCATCAGCTTTCTGCTAGGGTTGCCAGGACTCCCTTCCTCCCTGGACAGGTGTCCTCCTCACTGCAGGACACCTGAACTTGGCTGCTATTCAGGCAGCCATCTTCCAGGGCCTCATCCATGAGGACTTCCGGGCACTTGATTGGCCATGTGGGCTTTGGACCTGCCCTCTGGCCAGTTTTTGGCCTCTGTCATGCTTAGCACAGCAGCTTAACCAAGATCTGTAACACTTTGGTATCACTGTAGGCTTTGGAATACCGTAGGAGTTTCTACTGCCACCACCAATCTTATTCTAAAAGAGCTGATTAGCTGTAACACCCTCGGAAAATTCTTTCCATACCCCAGCCTAGTGCACAAGCCTTGCCACAAAGCACTCTAGCTGTTCCCAAGATCTGGGACCTTTGATTCCATTCTCCATCTGCATGCCTCCTTCCAGAACCCTTGCCAAATGAAGAACAACATTTAATAACCTTCATGTATGCTGATGTTCATTAGCTACCTAATATAAACTATTTTGTTGTTCTTTTGTGCAGCAAAACTCCTCAGATACAGGCACCAAGCCTAAATGCTTAAGGACTTTCAACATACTACAGCACAGAGGTGAGTTCTAATATAGCCAAAGAATGTAAAAGATAAGAAGGAAGATTATGAATGCAAAGAGAATCCAGTAGTAATTATTAAAAGATGGCAGCAGCAGATGGCCATGCATCCAAGTTCCTCTGGATTGTGCTTAAGGCTGATTAAGCAATATCGAGGATTTAGTGTTCATAGGCATACACACCTGCACACATACACACATGCACACACACAATATATATACACACATACCTACACACATACATACACATACATAAACACATAATAATACATGCATGCACACACGTGCACAAAAAAAAGAGCACGCACGCACACACACACACACACACACACCTGTAGCATTGATCATCAAGTCCCTGGGGTTAAGGAGTATGTTTAGACCAGCCCCACCTATATCCTTACTGGAGAGTCACTTATGCTAGCTCCTGAGTAGAGGGCATGGGATGATGTGCTTATGTTCAATGATGAACACTTAAAATGATTTTCTAAACTAACCTGGGGGAGGGAGGGAGGATGCCTCACTCTTGAGAAAGTACCATTCCCTCCTGCATTTATATATTGGTGACTACTGGAAATTTAAACATTACAAGGTCACAGTACTCTTGGAGGAAAAGTGGACCATGGAGAAAGAAGAGAAAAATATATTGTTAAGTTGTAGTCATGCCTATTAGCCCTGGTCCCATTTTACATTAGATCATAGTATCATTATTAATCCATTTTGTATTGCATCAAAACTATTTAAATAACAGCTGTAGATTGCTACGTTCTAATTGGAACATCTATATTATTCCCCCAACTCCCCTCCAAGCTCAGGGATCACCATGGGAGACAGGGCAGAATGACTGTAAGAATCAAGTATCATGGATATCAATCACAACACAGTATTTGCTGGACATGGTGGAGTTATTGTAAACATAAACTCACAGTACCTGTGACTGCGAACATAAGACCTACACAAAATCAATACAGCCAAACTTCCAACTTAGACAGGAAAAGGGTTTATAATGTCAAATCCCTAGCTGAAGAGCTATTAGCCAATAATGACTGGGAAGGAGAGTCCAGCTTTCTTAGAAATGTGGTTTCCTCAGAGGCTGCCCCTGCTTGTTACTTTTCAATTTCGGTGACAAAATATGATGATCAAGGAAACCACAGAAAAGTTTATTTGCACTTATGGGTTCAGAGGGTTAGAGTCCATGATGGCAGGGGCAGGAACTGGATTGGCAGGAAATGGATGCTGAGAGCAGAAGCTGAGGGCCCACATCTTGAACCACAATCAGAAAGCAGAGAAAGAGAGAGAGAGAGAGAGAGACAGACAGAAATGGCCCGAGTCTTGAAATTCTCAAAGCCCAGTGACACACTTCCTCCAATAAGGCTACACCTAATCCTCCCCACACAACAAGACCAGCTGGAGACCAGTTTTCAAATGCCAGAGCCTATGGGGGACTTTCTCATTCAAATCACCATGCTACGCTACTCATGCCCAGTAGAGGGTCCTACCCCGCCACACATACAGAGAGTACCCAATGAACTCAGTGGGTTTTAAAACAGGGAACATGAAATTGATAGGGGAGATTGGATGAGAGGGGCAAATTGAAGGGTGGGACTGGGGAGGATTTGCTAAAAATACATTATATGCACAAATAAAATTCTCAAAACAAAACAAAACAAAAGGTTTTTTTTTTTTTTAAAGAAAAAGAATATTTAAATTCCAAATTACAGTTCAAGCACTGGAAAATGTGCCTTGCCCAGCCCCTTGCTTCCTGTTTTCTCTGCCTCCAACCACATAGTGCTTTGAATTCCACCTTTCCAGACACTTGCTCGCTATCAGTTGAGGAAAAGATAGACAACTTCCAAGGCTCTTTTCCTGCAAACCATGCATTGAGTTGAAGTTTATGTTCTCTCATTTCTTAGTAGTAACTGAAAAACATTGCATTTCTCATCTCCAGGGGTAGATGGCTGACAAATGCAAGTTTCCATAGTATCTGTGAAGGTCTGTCCCTCTCAACCAACCAAACATGTTCTGTCCTTTTCTTTATTAACATCCTAGAACTAGCCCCAGTTTTAAGATATTCCTTGGGCTTTTTGGCATTTTGTTTTATACTAGAATCAAAAATAGCAGCAATGACTTACTTCATCTTCTTTTCTCCCTTCAGGCATTTATGCACTTTCTCATACTGGAGATTCATCCAATGACATCACATTAACCCAGTTTTTATCAACCGAATAAAGCCATGAGTCATAATCAAGGGTTAATTTTTCTTTGTGCAACATGTCATTCAGAACCACATGACAGCAAAGACATGTACAAAGCCAGATGAGATTTTGTGGTTTAGGTGTCTGAGGATAAAACTGGTTACTTTGGGGTTGGAGAGATGGCTGAATGGTTAAGAGCACTTGCTGCTCTTGCAGAGGACCTGGGCTCAGTTCCCAGCCCCACGTGGTGGATCACAACCATCTGTCCCAGGGGATCTGCTGCCCTCTTCTGACTTCTGTGAGGACTACACACACGGTATATAGACATACATGCAGGTAAAACACCCATTCAAAGAATAAAATAAATATATTTTTTAATTTTTTTATTAGTTACACTTTATTCACTTTGTATTCCCCCATAAGCCCCTTCCTCCTCCCCTCCTGATCCCACCCTCCCTCTCCCTTCTTCACACATGCCCCTCCCCAAGTCCACTGATAGGGGAGGTCCTCTTCTCCTTCCATCTGATCTTAGTCTATCAGATCTCATCAGGAGTGGCTGCATTGTCATCTTCTGTGGCCTGGTAAGGCTGCTCCCCCCTCAGGAGGAGGTGATCAAAGAGCAGGCCAATCAGATTATGTCAGAGGCAGTCCCTCTTCCCATTACTATGTAACCCACTTGGACACTAAACTGCCATGGGCTACATCTGTGCAGGGGTTCTAGGTTATCTCCATGCATGGTACTTGGTTGAAGTATGAGTCTCTGGGAAGACCCCTGTGTTTAAATTTTCTGGTTCTGTTGCTCTCCTTGTGGAGTTCCTGTCCTCTCCAGCTCTTACTATTTCCCACTTCTTACATAAGATTCCATGCACACTGCCCAACAGTTGGCCATAAGTCTCAGCATCTGCTTTGATAGTCTGCAGGGCAGAGCCTTTCAGAGGCCCTCTGTGGTAGGTTCCTAGCTTGTTTCCTGTTTTCTTCTTCTTCTGATGTCCTTCCTCTTTGCCTTTTGGGATGGGGATTGAGCATTTTAGTCAGGGTCCTCTCTCTTAATTAGTTTCTCTAGATGTACAGATTTTAGTAGGTTTATCCTATATTACATGTCTATATGAGTGAGTATATACCGTGTGTGTCTTTCTGCTTCTGGGAAAGCTCACTCAGGATGATCTTTTCTAGGTCCCACCATTTACCTGCTAATTTCATGATTTTCTTATTTTTCATTGCTGAGTAATATTCCATTGTGTAGATGTACCACAATTTCTGCATCCATTTTTCAGTTGAGGGGCATCTGGGTTGTTTCCAGCTTCTGGCTATTACAAATAAAGCTGCTACAAACATGGTTGAGCAAATGTCCTTTTTGTGTACTTGCGCCTCTTTTGGATATATGCCTAGGAGTGGTATGGCTGTATCTTGAGGAAGCGCTATTCCTAGTTGTCTGAGAAAGCACCAGATTGATTTCCAGAGTGGTTGTACAAGTTTACATTCCCACCAGCAGTGGAGGAGGGTTCCCCTTTCTCCACAACCTCTCCAGCATGTGTTGTCCCTTGAGTTTTTCATCTTGGCCATTCTGATGGGTGTAAGGTGAAATCTCAGGGTCGTTTTGATTTGCATTTCCCTAAAGGCTAATGAGGTTGAGCATTTCTTTAAGTGTTTCTCTGCCATTCGATGTTCCTCTACAGAGAGTTCTCTGTTTAGCTGAGAGTTATGGCCACCTGTTGGGCAGGGTGCATGGAATCCTTTTTAAAGCCCAACAAAATAGATGACTTCATTGGTCCAACCCTGCCTCCTTTGTCCTACATTAAATCAAAATGTTACTAATTACAAAGTGAGCTATGAAAGATCATACATCTTTCATCCAAGAAGGCATGTCAATAACCAAAAAGGAAGAAAGACCCCCTGTCAGTATCTCCGGCCACGAGGGAAAATTAAAAAAAAACAACAAGATATTGCGATATACCTACTAGAATATCTTTGCAAACAATCCAACCTCCATTCCAAGGAGCACTGCATAATTTTATATATCCTGAACCCTAGACAAGCAAGATGATCCAAAATAAGGAAAGTAGGTTAGTTATCTTAGAGTGAAGTTGGGTAGTAAATTATACAGAATAAGGAAGGAGCATGTACATTCAGTGTCTTGATTGTAATGATGGCTTGGCAATCAAAACATCGATCAAAACGGATTGCACATCACATGCAATTAATACATACAATTTATTGTCAATAAGGTTTTCTTTTTTAAAAAATGATGGTATATGTTCAGGACAAAACAATATAGTTGGTTTAAACTCAATTAAAAAAAATCATGGGCTGTTCTGATGGCTCAGTGGCTAAAGACACCTACCACTAAGCCTGAGGATCTGACCCAGGAACCACAAGGTGGAAAAAGAGAACTGACACAGGTTGTTTGTTCATTGAAATCCACATTGACCATGGCACATGCATGTCCACTCACACACACACACAGACATGCATATATATGCATGCACACATAATTAATTAATTAATTAATTAATATATTATTAATGACCTTTAGAAAAAAGATCAGCGAGAGTCCCAGATTGCTCTCTATAGCCAAGTGTCCAGACAACTGTCCCTTACCCCCATCTTGGAAGCAGATTGTGTGAATAGGTGGGAAAAGGTGGGCCACTGGGACCAACAGATACTAGAAATAACTCAGGGAAGTATTCTTATCATCCTGAAAAGAAAGGGCTGAGCGAACGAACACTTACAGAGAAGCAAGACTCACGTTTTCCAGGCCGGAGTCCAAACAAACATCCCTAAATGTCTAATTCTATCAAGAGGAAAGAAAAGACCAAGAGACCGACTCTGAACAGGTGCTGGGATCATTCTGCCAGATCATCCTGGCAGAAAGGCAAGACATCACACGCCACCCCGGGCAGGCGACGCCCCGTCAGCTCTTAGGTATAAACAGTCAAAGATCACCAGGGGCCTCAGAAAAGCCACTTTCCTAAACCACTGCAATTTCTAACTTCACTCTAAATGCTTCTTCTTTTATCAACACATAAGGGTAGCTTTCATCCCTGACAAAGAAGCCCTTTTTTCTTTTCTTTTTCCCTTCCTTCCTTCCTCCCTTCCACCCTACCTTCCTTCCTTCTTTTCAGCACACAAAAGCCATCATAGAAACCCACAATTGGTCAAAATGCTGAGGACAATAGACTCTTGGGTGCCTCTCATCAATCAATATATTTACAACACAGCCCCAATCCCCAAGGCTCAGGGAATAGGGCAGAAGAATGGCAGAGAGATTGTAAGAGCCCGAGGAGCAGGGCACTATCTATAGTGAGATAGTATCTTCTAAGGAGTGGGGATAAAGTGGTGGGGGTAGGGAGGAGGGTAGGGACCTGGGCGGAGTGAACGTGATCACAATATAATGTAAGAAACTTCAGAGAACAGTGGTATACTTAAAAACATGCTTTTCCAAGAAGGCTGCTGAGTGAAACTGTACTTACCCTCACTGAACTCCAGGGGGCAGGCTCTGACCAAGAAACTTAACCAGACTATGCGAAAGCTTAATTGCCTCCCTAGCACAGGAGTATGGGGTGGGGGTTGTGGGGAGGGAAGCAATGTTGCTGCTCTGGTCAGGAATGTTGCTGAAGCTTTGCTCTGTTTAACAGGAAAGATTAGGAAGCCCAGAGAGCAATAGCTCAGCTGAGTGGCAAACAATGCCTCTGTTTCCTGGGTTTATGCCTCAGGGTGCTGCTGCTTCTAAGCAAAGGAGGAATCAGCCAAATCCTGCATGCAATTATCACCTGCTAAAACCCAGCCTGTGTGTGTTGGGCGAGGAGGGGGGGGGGGCGCACCTAGGACATTTTCTGTGAGTGCAGGGTTAAGCCAAAGTCCTTAGGCTGTGATATCTCCACAGTAACTGAAGGTAACTCTTGATCCTCCTACCACTACCTCCTAAATGCTTGGATTATTTTGGGATCACAAGTGTGCTGGTACTGAGAACTGAACCCAGGACTTGATGCATTCTACCCACTGAGCTACATCCTTAGCTCATTCTGGATTCTTCTGAAAACTGGGGCCAGGTGGAAGGAGAGCTGGATTAGGAGCAAAGTATGGGAAGAGTCCCATAACCCCGCCACTACTGCTAACCCTACAACAGGTCCACACTCCACCTGGCTTGAACATAGCTGGATGAGCCAGGATCCCATTCCACAGACTGGCTCCTGGCCCAGCCTCCTCCCCTAGTATTTCCACAGTTCACTTTTTTATCTGTGAAACTGCAAACCTGCATTCAACAGATAACCTCAAAGGTCCCTTATAGCCCGACTTGCTTTGGTTCTGTGTCTCTTCACAGTGAACACCCTGGGAGAAGAGAAATTTATCACCAAAGGATACCACCCCAAGCGGGTTTGGCAAGACCTTATCTTGCTGGGTAGGAATCATCGGCACAAACGCTGCCAACAGCTACGCTATGCCAACTGAATGGGAGGTGACACCCTATTGGAATCCTGACCCGATGCTCTCATCCAGAGCAGAGGAGTTCCTTGCTGTGATGTGCTGCCAAGGGACATATTGGTTTTGTGGATAAGGCTTCCTGGTTCTTAGATCTCAGCCATATCCCTCACCAGGGCCTGGAGAGGCAGCCTGTGAATCCCGTAACCGCACACTGCCAGGCTCTGCCAAGGACAACTGTGCTGTCTGAGAGCCTCACCCGGTGCTGCCGATAACGTGGCTCTGTTTTCCTGGAGTTGGCTGGGCCAGAGAACTAGCCCATCTCCCGTCTGTTTCACCAGACTGAAGGAATGTTATGAAGCCCCCATCCACCTTTGCCACTGATTTTGAAGGCAATAAATAAGAGATTATATTCACAGAGGCACAGTCAGAATTTGTCTGGACCATTGTTTGTATAGCAGAGTTTGCAAAAACAAAACAAAACAAACAAACAAACAAACAAAAAACTTGTTTGTGACCTGCTTTCTTTTAGTCTAGAGAACAATTCTCAAAATCTTACCCTGATCAGTAGCATCTGTGCCATCCAGGCTGGGGAGTTGACTCCGTTACTAAATT